AAAATGATGTTCTTGTTAGATAAAATAAGGACCTCCTTCTAAGCTTATGAAATCTTTCCGTATTTGTAGGTACTTAACATGCATAATACATACGGCCGGAGCATTCTTTTATTAGCAATATCGAGGAAATTCCACAAATACAGAGGATTACTTGTTACTTTTTATTTTGTGTACATATTATTAATAAATGTTGTAACAAATTTGCAATCTTTATACAAAGAGATTTATAGGATTTGAGACATACTCAAATAGATTTGAAGTCATTATATTTTTGCCTCGATGGGGGAAACTTTAAAATGATAAACGAAAAAACGAAAGCTCTCCAATATATCCACGTTAAATTAAAAATATTCCTCTTTTCGTTAAACTTTTGGTGACAATGATGTACCTATTCCATTTCCATCAACTCAAAGTATTATTCGCGAAAGGCAAATAATCCTTGCGACAGCTCTATGAAAATAGCAGAAGATTTCAGCATCTGAAGTCTCCGAACATACCGGTAGGAAAAAATATGGCCGATATGGAGCATTATGGCCATAAAGTCACTGCAAGAAAAATTGTAAGAAACTGTACACTCTGATGGCCTCTAGCGGCAAAATAAATTACTATTGTAAATGAAACCTATAATACTCAACGAACTACACCTAAACTAAACGGATTTACATAGGAAATACATATACGGCGCGGCGTAAGAATATCGAATATAAATTTAGAATTTTAAATTGTTAAGAAAAGAACTTTACAATATCCATATTTAAAAAATGGAAGCAGTAATTTTAAAAACGGAGACGAAGAAAGAATTTCATCCTAGATCAGATATTGGAGTTAGAATGTTCAAAAAAAAAAATTACAACATCGGAAAAGGAAACCGACCTAAGGGCCTTAATTCCATAACCCAATCTATTAATAGTTACTGAGAAAAAATAGGAGAAACGCAAATTAGGGACAAGAACTATATTCTAAACCGGAGCGTTTATCCCTTATATTTAATACTTTTGTACTTTTCTCGGATTTGTTTGGCGAAGGGGCCAAGTAAATGCCTTCTTGCTGATTAAAATGATGAAAGAATACGTCAAAGGCTTTTACGAATAAGTAGTGTTTCTAGCTGGACAATAGAACGGACTTTTTCTATTTGTGGTAACGCTCTAAAATAAGAAATTATCCAATACCAGCTTTTTTTAAATAGAAACAATACGTGCAGTAAAATTACATACACCATTCATTAGTTATAAAACTCAATTGTAGGTGAAAATTGTTTCCGAAACACTTTATGCCGCCGATTCCTCTGCTATTTATTGTATTGCTAATGCGAGACGGAATCGTAAATGAAATGAATAAAATGGCGCACTACTGTCCAATAAAATTGATTTGCTTAAAACAAAACGAAATTCGGCGTGATTTAATAATGGGTTAACCTATAGCGTAGTAAATATATAGCGGTATATAAAAGCCCGTAGACTTAGTTTTTGATTGCCGCACGTACGCAAACAACATAAATGGAAATTATCCGTTGTGAATCGACGTTGCTTGAAGTTGGCGCCGCCACCCAAGGACTAAGACAAGTGACAGTCTAATTGTTTGCGGGGTTTCAATTACTCACCCCATAATTAGGCGTCAAACTGTGAACGGAATTAAATTATTTGTCCGGTTTCCAATTCTCCTCGATCAAAATAAGCCTGCAAATACCAAACGGTAGTTAGTTAGGCTTCCTACAAAGATAATGTTTTACCTAATGTTGTTTCAGCTTAGAAATTTCCCACTGTGCACATGCATATGCAATTAATTATAATTTCGGTCGACCAGATGAAATTACTAAATTGCTGTTTGTAGTACACTCTTTCTAATTAAACTGACGAAAAACAAAAGTCCCTGCGCTTTTTCATTCGACCAATATTTCTCGTTGTCCGGTTACATGTGTACTTCATATGTATCTAATCAATACTAAATGCATTAAAACGTATTTTAATCCGCTCTTGTTTACAAATCGAGAGAATATTTTTCTATACAATAGGAACCTTCTCTTAATGTTCGAGTTATCATTCAAACACAGGTAAATTTAGTAACGCTCAGAGAGGGATGCTGCCATATTTAGGCGATAATTAGTTTCGCGTTAAGAGCTAGGAAAAATTCTAGTACCTATTTATTTTTATCACAAAAGCAAAGAGAAATATTAATTATTATTAGAAAGCGGCAGATATCTTTATTTGGTTTCTTTTCCGAATTCTTCTACGGTTTCCATAAAGCGAGCAATTAACGGTTTCCATCTTTTTTGCTACGTTGGAGTATGTATGAATTTAAGGAATGCTACTTTCATTTGATATAGGTAGCATTCTCGGCTTTTCATTTATTAATTTACCAATTTAGATCGTTTACTGCGTAGTAGCTTTTCCACCGAAATAGCTTTCTTTTATTTGCGCAAAAATTTTCCATTCACTCCTTTCATTACATCGAAAAACCTTTTTTATTTGATTAATACTTAATATTTTAGTAAAAATAAACAGACACAGTTTCATATTTCGATAAAATTAGACCATGGAAATGAGGTTTGTGCTAATAACGTCCTTATTTGGGTCAACTACTTTTAAAACGGGAATACATTTAATCTTTCAGTTGGAATCACTTTTATCCCCGAATCATTCTATTTGTTTCATTTGAGCAATGCAAAAAGCATCTTGAAAAGTTGAGTTTTACAGCCACGGTCACGTTGTTGGAAACTTTTATCTAGGTCGTAATTTGGGTTCGATTAAACACAAGACATTTCCAGACAAAATAAATTTGTATGACAAACATCAATCAAATCTGAAATAAAAATAAGCACTCAGGGCCAGATAACACATGTACCACGCAACAAGCAATCCATTATACCAATTAAATTTAAATAAAATATTTATTACCTTAAGCTCAATAGTCCTTATCATCCGGTCATGATTGCGCTTTTCAACAAATAGAAGCTCTAACACAAAAACTAGCTGATGATACCTCGAATCTTCACTTCTTTGACTTCACATACGATTTAGACGACACTGACTTAGATATTTGTACAATAATAGTATTCGCTCTTTGATGGTGGAAATACTCCCTTTAACTGGAATGCATTAAATAAAGGCTCCTTTTCAGCGACAAACGCTCGATAACCAAACCACTTCTACTATACTTCTCCGTAAACTTTATAGAGCATGTTTCGACTTTTTTGGGGAATTGGGAAATCCGTACCCCTGCTTGGCTCTATAGCGGAGGTAGTGCAGGACTCCCGCCCACTAAAACCCTTCTACTGTTTTTTCCATCTCCAACCCGCCAACTTCAGGTTGGGTGGTGTTGGGTGAAATTACTTACCCTATTCCACTTGCAAGTTATCAATTTGTGACACTGGAATTCATTTGTTTTTTATTGTCACGGCCTACTCCGGTGCATAGGCTTGTGAAAAATATTAAATAACCTAAAAATTAAGGGCGTTTAGGGACTGGGCATCCCTTATAAAAATTAGAATACATAGCTATACACAGTTGTGGCACTTTGACATTCGGAAACTTCAATGAACATCCTGTATCACTAAATCCAACTCTCTCATTATTAAAGTGTAGTCATTTACTCAATTAAAATTATTACTCAAAAGTAAACTTCAAAAACAAAGTGGCTACGATTTGCCAAAGTAAAGCTTGCTTATCGAGAATTGTTCGGAAAAAATTAATGAAGGTGGCAACATTGAAATAAATAGTTGTGGCGGTTATTTTTTTTACTTGAGCTAGGAAAGACCGGGGTACTGTTTCCCGGAAACAAACTATTTCGGAAATTCTCCAAAAAGGCGAAAAAATGCTTGGTTTTTCTAGATAAGGAGGGTCGTACTGTTTGCTTATATTTATGTACGCACATCATATTTTCCTGTACTGGCTAGCGAGATGTAGGAGGTAAACAGTACTAGTGTAATTGTAAAAGGTATCAGAAAACTGAACGCACATTATTAATCAGTCCTTGGGCAGTACTAAAGCCAGTTTGGCGTAGCCGTTTAAGACTCGGACTCTAACCCCACCGGTTATGAGTTCGAATCCACAACGTGCCAGTTTTTAGTGGTACAGAGCATCTCTTGACTACCATGCTTCGGACGGCATGTAAGCGACGGTCCCGGCAGTGATACCACGGTACTAAATAGTACTGTTGCTTGCTTACTTATATCCTGGTTATCAATTTCCCGTGTACTGACTAGCGGCATTTGGACGGTAGTCAGTACAAGGCAATCCTTAAAAGTATCAAAAAACCGTTGTGTATATATACAGTACCCAAGACGTACTAACTAGTACCATTATATTTATAAACGTTTCGTTTATAAATACAATGCTAGTACTGTTATATTATTGGTATATTAATGTGCTGGTTATCGACGTTCTTAATAGGTAGCAATTTTTCTTTTGTCATCTTAAGATACATACCCAAATTGTGCTACAAAGTACTGATGTACTGGCGCGAACCGGCTATAGTGTACAGGCTACCTTCACGCACAGCGATTATGTTGTGTTTTAACACTTCAATTCAAACATATGTCAATTTGACATCATTGCGGCGAGTAACAAAGATAGCTTTATGGAAGAATAACGCGAAATAGTAAGAGAGACATTCACTCCATAAGACCACAATATACTGCATCTGGAGGTACGACTAGTCTAAATTTCATTAAATCGACCCGCCACATATAAGATATTAGCTTTTAAAATGAGAGGATTCTCCAATAGTTAAGTTGGACTACACAGCCAGGAGGTCGGGTGTTCGAACCTGAGTTGAGGTGAATTTTTCATCTGTGGCAGAGATGGGCATTACCTTAGACCAGTTTCGAGCATTCTGCCGGCTACTGCGAATTAGGTTTTCCTGCAGCTTTCCTAATTCGTAAGGTAAATACCGGAGTAGGAACAACTCAAGACCTTCTGCAGGGACACCTCTAACAAGCATTATTCGAGTCACTCTGTAATTGGGCGAAAGTCTATTGAGTGGGGCCAATAAATAAATAGTAGTATTAGGCAATTTAGTCTTTTTTTAATTTGAAAATTCCATTGGTATGGGCATATAAGGCCATTAATATTGTCACGCACATCCCGAAAATAATCAAACACTTGGTTGACACACGATCGTATGGAGCATACACTGGATCCACATACTGGAATTGATCTAAAAATACGCGCTTGCATGCCATATTTAATAGAGAGCTCTACCTACATGAAGTGTTGGGAAAATATTCCTTTGTAATGCGGTGAACATAATTTACCAGCCATTTATGCCTATAAATAAATTGTTGCAGCTTGGGATTTTGGAGCGGCATGTTCATCGCTATAACCAGGTAACTATACACAATCGCATCTAGTGATGTTGGTATATTTTTGTATAAAAATTTACGATCATCCTTCAGCAGATAGTCGAAATCTCCCAAGCAAACTGCCGCACCCTCGTATTTCTGCAAAGTACACGAAATTAATCAGAATGGTTAGACTGTACCATACCGATGACATAAACGTGTCTGCCTCACTTGTGCGCTTTACTAGATTGAACTCATTTTGCGCCAGCTTCCTTTTCTGGTGAAGGTATAATAAGTTGAAAGGAAACGGTATAACACGGGTAAACCAGGTTTCAATTGCGTGCGTAAAGTTAGTTTCATGTATCCAACTGGAAAAGTCAGTAGATCATGATATAATAAAATTCAGAAAGAGCTAACCAATCAAAATAAAATGGACCACCAAAATGTTGCATAAAATATTGCTTGTACGCTCGTAATTTCCTTCGCTGTCGCGCATTCAGTAGTGATTCCTCATGGCACTAAAAAAGCAGTTTTCCAGTTTGAATTGCCGTGTCCGCCTACCAGTTGGAAAACATAGTCTAATATTTTTTCCTTGTCGACAATGAGCAAATTCCTCTCCTCAATACTAGGAATATCAACGAGAAAGGGAAAGAAGGCAGGGACGATTTTCACGGGAACTTTGTGCATTTTACAGACCGTCTGTAAACAAATTTAGAACCCACTGGATGCTAATGCAACTCACCAGAACAATAAGCGATGTTGGATCTACCGAAGGTGCACCGTAATCGCCGGGCCATACACGAATTGTAATCGGAGGTCTCGTGTAACTCTGCGAGTTAATTGATTAATGATGTGTAAATAATGCAGCTAAACGTAGACATACCGTTGGATATTCTGGATCATTACCGAGATACATTGTTATTTGCGAACGATAACAATTTAACAAGGAAATTAAATCTATAATAACATCTTTGCTAAAACCGTGTTGACATTTATGATGTTCGCGACTACAGCTTAATAGGTGCACCTGTGACGTTGTGAGAACAGCCTCCTTTGGACTTATAAGGGCAATAAGAAAAACTGCGTCCCAATTCTTTGTCGTCTGTAACTTTTCATCAGGAAATGTCTTGCGGCCCTAAGAACTGCTATTCAAAATAGAAGTGCGCCTGGGCTCTTTCGAAATAACAATGTGCACAAACGCCAATAGTGTAACGGACAGTTACAAATTATCGATGATTCGCCGTGTATATTCTTCTTATCCTTCATTTCTTAATGTCGACGTCGCGTCGGTGTGAAGTATTTTGGAACTTACCTTAATTTTACTTTCATACTTCCAACTAGCTCAGGTAAGTAACAAATACTAATCAAAATTTGGGTAAGATATTACTACCGAAATTGAAACTGTAATACGTACACCTAGAGGAATTACGCAATTTTCATAATTCGGTGTACGTTTGAATTTCAGAACCTTTTTATTTCTGTGAGTAAAGATTAGTGTCTGTAATAATTACGATTGCAAAAGATTACATTAATTAGAATACATTAATTTTAACTAAACACACAAAGAAAATAATTAAAATTACGATGAACCTAAGAAGAAACCTAAACCTAAGATATCTAAACAATTCTAATATTTGAAAATACTTTAGCATTTCAGCCCCCGGGTTAAATTCGAGCGTCGTAAATAAATTGTCATTAATTCTCGCGCCAAATGACCGCGAGTTTTAAAATACGTACGCCGTTGGATGTAATTCGTAAAAGGAATATAGTCTTTTACCATATGAATGAAGTCTCTTGATTCAGGGAAAGTTTGTTGAACTCGTTTCGGTCGAAATCGAACCTTGGAATTTTTTTCTGAGCAAATTATTGACGTCGTAGAAGGCCACCCTCTGGTTGTTTGGAATTCTGCCACCCTCCTCCGCGGTCAGTCTCCTTGGATCGGACTCCAGCAACTTGATTTCTATTTAAATCATCGCCGTTCCTTTTTTAAATTTGGAAGTAAACGCTAGAGATTAAACAATTCGCAAGCGATGAACAAAACGCGTGCTTTAGCCGTTGGTCTTTTCAAACTGAGCAGTTCGTGAACCCTTTTAAAAACTGGGCGTTACTGCGATCTCAATTTTAGGAAACTTTCCACCAGATATATTTACACGTAAAATGGTGACCCAATTTCTTTCGCGCTGAGCGATACTGTTAGCTGGTAATAGACCGAAAATGCACTTGCTTTGGTTTACACTTTGACTGGGCATTATTGACCTAAACGACAATAGTTTTAGGCACCTTTTAAAATATTTTGTTGTAGTGGTGCGCGTTAAAAACAGTTATAACAGTTAAAATATTATTTTGAACCCTTTGAAGCAGATCCCTAGTGATATTGGTGGTTTCTTCTAATCATTTATTGTTTCTGGATTTGTTTCATACACTCTAATTTTTGCATACCCCCAAAAGAAAAAAATCGAGTGGTGTAAAATCGGGAAAGCGTTTCTGGTGAAACTGGACTAGGGCTTCAATTTAAAAGTTTTGGGGTTATTACCTTCCAACAAAAGTCCCTAGTGTATAAAAGTTCTAAACTATCTAAAATGCAATTTTTACGACCCGTTATCTCTCCCTTTTTTCATTCTGAAATGTTCAGATTTTTCTTATAGCTCCGTCCCGGAAACCTTGTATAACTACGTATTTATACAGTGTGTCTCAGGTAGAACGCACAACATAGGAAAATGGCAATGTGCTTTTTCACGAAGGTACCATGAAACATTTGAAATTAGAATTCAGCGTACTACTCCAATCTCTTTTTAGCATCAGACAAATCACGTACGTTGAACGCTAACTTCAAATAAATATCAAAGGCTTCGTGGATCCGGGAAAAATACGCTAACTCTGTTTCCCTATTGAATGCACCATTCAACCTGGGACACCGAGGATATTATACTGCCTGAAGTGTAAGTACAAGAATTTCTCTCCATTTGTTTTAAAAGGGGAAAACTTTAAGTAGCGAATATTTTAGAAATCCCGATAGACATCGAGGCGCCGTAAAAGATTAGTCATCAGCGATGAGAAACGAATATGCGAATGTATCCGTTTGTATTTACGGTGGTAATAATGTGACGCATTCTCTCCGGGAAATATGACGTGTTTTGTTCGAGAACATTCTAGAATTAATACTCGTTCAAAAACGTTCGAAAAACAGGGGCGTATGCTATATAAGCAAATCGAATTGTCTTTTAGTCAGTTCCAATTTCAACGCCGAAGTATTAAATAGTTATAAAGTGTGTATAATTAAGCGATAAATTCCATTCCATGTTTTGAGAATGTGTTTCTTTAATAATTACTTTCAAAATAAGGTGAAACTCGACCTCCTACAAAAACTGTAGTTATGTTATTATGTACACTGATGGTTCAGAGGTTTCAATTATCGGAGTAGTATACTGGGTCTCCATCTATGAGCGAGCTAGACTGCTACGTATCTTGTCTCGCGCCCCTGCCTTACGATACGTTGATCTTTTATGAACATTTTTGATTTTTCAGATAATGTTTTGTTCACGCCTTTTTTGCGCCCCTAAAATTCCGGCGCCCTAAGTCCTGGCTTTGTCGGCTTCTAGGTTAATACGCCTCTGACAGTAGCAGTAACACTTTTTCTTACTACTTTTTCTGCCTCTTGTTACACTTGTGAAAACTGGCACATTAATTGGTATCAATATATATGAAAATTTTAATGTAATATCCGATTTCGGAACAAAATTATTGCAAAACTCGTCAGTAAAGTAACACTAGTTGCCACCTCGGAAATTTAAATACAGGTCGGTCGCGAGTGAGGGCTTCAATATATTCTCGCCAGTAATATGTCATTTTTCTGATTTTTATGTAGGTAAATAACTATTACTGTGAATTGAATTTCGCGAAACGAACTCTGTTTACAGCAAAACAAGCAATATCTAAAGACCTAAAGTTACTCAACGTTGAAGAATCGAGTGTGGGTTGGGCATTGTGAAGTGAGCCTTGCCAATTTTGCACGTTTTTTAATATCTATCGCTTTGCAAAACAAACCGTTTTTTTTTGTCAAAACAATCAATTTAACGATTCTGTAATTAAAAATCTCTTTTGGGTCGGGCTGGTGTGAAGTAGACCTGTCGACATTTCATTTAACTGTACAGAGGATTTCGCTAAACAAACGCTGATTACAACAAAATAAACAATAACTAAACTCACGAAATGGAAGAATGTTATTCAGCTTTGAAAAATCAAATGTGGGCAATGTGAAGTTAGCCCCGCCTATTTTACAAATTTTGTAATAGCTATTGCATTGCGAAACAAACGATTTTTTTTGTCAAAACAATCAATAACTAACAAAAAACAAACAATATTACCTATTGAGCGAGGCTAACTTAACTGACATAATAAAAAACGAATATAAATAATTTGTTTAAACATTGACAAATTAGTCTTTTGAATTCGTCCTTTTTGATGCAACCCCACTTTAAAAATCGGTTTTCCGGTGGAAATCAGCGGGTCGAAATTCTAATTTTGTGCGGGTACAAATTAGTCTTTAATTAGTCCTAAATTATAGGCATTATTTTACTCGCCTCTGAATATGAATCCGTTGAATTGAAAATATTTTAGCTCAAAAGGGCGCATTCAATAGTTATAAATCACATGTACAAATTTGTAGAAATTTAGTCGCATTTCCCATCATCAACTTGGACACCTTGATTGAGATTGTTGATTGAGCAAGGTGCCCTAATGCAACTTCTTATCGCTTAAGATTAGATGGGCATTCCGAAGGGGATGCATAAACGGTAAATTTGGAGTGCTTTGAAACGATCAAATCTAAAGAAACAGAGAGTTGCAAAACTTTTCTATGCTCTTCTATCATGGCAAAATTAGAGTTTTTAGGGGATGAATTTATAGTGAGTAGATTTTTCTCTTTATTTTAACTTTTGCACCTCTCTCGGATAAAACTTCTATTTTCAAAGGCAATTTCCGGAGTAGTCGAACCCAATTATAAGATTACAAATGCTTATTGACGTACATTCTACATTCAACAGCCATCTAATACATAAATTCCGAATAAATCAGTTGTAAGCAGAATAATAAAAACAGGCTCTTGTAATTCCACTAGAGCCGATGTAGAACTCTAAATACACCGTCCACATCTGTACAATAGGTGGTGCTACCAGCAGCAAAAAGGCATTCATCGGGGTCGAAGCAGCTGTTTAGGAGGGGCGAATGCACTGTGATGTACCAACCATAGCGGTAATAAGCAGAACTCGTAGTGCGAGATGATAGGTTACAATTAAATTTATTCGTGCTGTGAATTTTCTTCGTTTATGCTAGTCTGACAACGATTAGCTTCTTTAACCTACCCTTTCTAGGTAAGTACAACGATTTAAATGCAAAATCACCCCAACTTTCTGTTATGAATTGTTAAAATAACATCTGCACTAAAGATGTTGCGAGCCGGTTTGTAATAACGTGAGGGTTTGCTGTACTTTCTGTTGCTCGTGCTTCATTGTCAAATGCAACCCCTCATCTATTAATACAAATCTTAAAGTTCGCAAACTCTGTTTGTTTGTTTACCTTTTTTGTTTATATTTACAAATTTAAATTCCGCATTTGTGTATATGTTAATTAGACCGCGTTGTCTCCCTTTAAATCTGCATGCACCGGTCGTTTACCATGTAATTAATGCAATGTCCCCTAATTAGATTACGATCGCCCCCTTTGAATATGCCCGAAATCTTAAAACAATCTGTTCCTTTTGTTATGCAATCGAGAATATTAATTGAATCGAATGGAAATAATGGTATCGTCAATAGTCCCAATTAAATTTATCTTCTTATGAATAACTTCTTAAGATAACTGCCAGTGTAATGTTCTGTTCTAAGGCTATTGTGATCTATTTCTGGTGATCGTATGCGTCACACGTTTCTGCTGCGTCTGAAAAACCTTGCTCTTTCGACTTTTTGTCATACCTATAGGTAGAAGACGAGTGCGGAATATTTTGTTTTCGAATTGCAAAAACGGCACATTTAAATATAGAAAATACATTTTTCCATTTTTGACGAATGAGGGCTTGATTTCGGGGTTCTGGACTTCATCAGATGATTTGACATTGTGAGTATGACGAATGAGGGTGTTCACTCTGTTCGCCAACTGTGTAAACTGTCAACACCAAATGACAAAGTGCCCATATCAATTACGCATATCGATAAAAAATCCCAAGACGTTCAGTTTGGTATAACACATATCATCAACATATAAACAAACAATTACATCTCCGGCAATCTTCGTAGGGTTGCCATCCGTCCGGATTTCCCCGGATTTGTCTTAGTTTAGGGGGCGTCCGGGGAGCGTCCGGGCGGGTTTTCAATGGTAGTCCGGGTTTTGAGGTACTGAGTGGGTGAATTAAAAATCTTTTTCTACAATCGATATCCAAAGTAGGCATTTGCGCTCGTATTTGACAACGCAAACGTCATCTTTTTCGAGGAATGTCACTTTGTCGCTTATAAGCGACAAAATAGAAAAAACGCTCGCTCTCCCAATTATTAACTATAAATCAAATATGCATTGCTCAGAGTATCCAACGAGTAAATGACATCTTTCATTTGGGCATAAGATTAAAATGATTTGAGTGAAAAATTTAAATTTTTGGAAATATGTGAACTGCTCGATTGTAGAAAAAACCTTGTGTGTAATTCGAGCGCAAATTGATTGTCGATTTCAAGAGATTGCCGCGCTCCTTCGTCGCGCGTCAACTGTCTCTTTCAATCGACAATTACTGCTTTCCATTTGAGTGCGTGAAGCTCTGGTGCAGTTCGTTCGGAGCAGCTCGTTTTGCAAGTTGTTCATTTTTAACACATTTGAATTGACATTCACAGTACGTAAATAACCACAAAAGTGTTACAAGCCCCAAGCAAATAGGTGGTGCATGAGGGGACAAGGGAAATCCAATTTCGGGCGAGTCAGAGCTCGAAGCTTTCTTAAAAGGAACACAGGGCATCGTGCACGGTACACCTTAGAGCTCCTCTTTCACTCAAATGGAAAGCAGTAAAAATATCATTTTGCGCTCTTAATACACAAATAGCTATTCTGTCAAAATGTAAGCCAACAAGATAAACTTTCAAGCGCAAAACAGCTTTGATAACAATTTTTTAAAACACTGAATGCTCATTTATAGGTACTCGAAGTTATTGAAAATTGCGTAATACTTTTTTGCATTCCTGCTCATAATGAACGCTGAAAGAATATTTTCACTAGTGCCACAACAGTGGACAAAATAAAGGAATTTATTGAATATTGAAACAGTCTCGTCATTGATAAAAATAAAGTACAATTTCAAAGATTATAATTGTGTAAATTTTTATAAATTTCTTTTAAGTAAGGAAGATTTTAAAAATGAAAGACGGGTAAATAGTGAAAACCTGAATTGTAAATAGTTCCCTAAACATTTTATTTTACTAAAAGACCAAATTTTTGTTTCATTTAAAAATTATTGTTATTAGCTTCTTATAACTTGTGTTTGATTTTGTTAAAAAAGTATATTAGGTATTGCTTCATTTAAGGAATTTAAAAATGTAGATAAGCCGCTGCTGAGTGCTGATTCCTAACAGTTAAAGAAGATTTTGTTTCGTGATAGAGTACGCCTTGTTTTATTTAGAAAAATTAATTGTTTGTTTTATTTCTTTAGAAAATATTTTTTATCAAATTCAGTTGATATGTCCGGGTTTGTAATCCCTAAATTCGGGGTTTCCACGCTTCCTGTCCTAGGTGGTAGTTTTGAGATGGCAGCCCTACTTGTAGTGCAGCGACGCTAACAATGATTCCAGATATAAAACAACGATTTCAAGTATCCGCGGGTATTGCTTATGTGTAAATACCCAAAAATGAAACTTAAATAAATAATTCATAATTTTATTAACGAAAATTACAATTTGTAAAATGGCAACTTGTAAATCAACCCATGCCTATTTTCGGTTTCATGCTTTTTGAAAAACCATGTCCTTGAAAGGAGCGAAACAAACATTATATAAATATTATTCTTGATAGTTGTACCTACTTATCTTGCAAAATTTTAGCGATTCTATTCCATTGGGTTTTAATTACTCCCTCTCTGTAATCTGAACCGTCCATTTTCTTCATATTGTATCCAAAATCTTGCATATTAGCGAGTTGCTGTTTTGAAGTAGTTCCAGTAAGTACATAGTTTTTCCGCACAGAAAGATTCGAACTGATTTCATGTTGAACTATTCGCTTTTTTTGTATTGGAAGGCGAATTTAGAATTATCAATGTTTTCTTCAATAACTTCAAGAGATTCACTCTCGAAAATTTCGGTGGTATCAATTCTTTACCTACTTTGGCTGCTTTTTATCAATATCAAATACACCTTTGTCACCCATCACCAAAATTATGACATTAGCAATGACAGTTTCCAAATTATTTTTGTTACCATAGCATAGGGATTGTAGTACCAACGCAACGTTCCTGTGGTAACTTGTTAACCAGCGATTTTTTGAAAGAACGCGTTCTCTAACTCAATACATATTAAGTGTTTCAGTTTCGGAAGTACGAAAAATAATGTATATACCTTGCGACTGAAGTAGTGGTCTTAATTCCTCAGGTAAATTATGGCCCTCCCTTCGGTCTGGCCATAAACTTTACCTTCGGGATTAAAAGCACTACTTCAGTCCTGCGGTATATAATATACTATTATTCATTTTTAACAACAATTGACGGATAACTCACTTCTATTCTTTCGTTTCTACGTCTAGATATAAGCCTACTACGTTGAGGTATTGCAATAACAAGATGCAGTGCCAATAATAAGATCACAAAACAAGATGACAACGAGGATAAGAAAATAAATGTGAACTTTCGTCGGGCACGCCAAATCCCAGATCTCAGTATTTCGCTCGTGCACTGCGTGCACTCGCGAAATATTCAGGTATTTGGCGTGCATTTGGGATATAATATAATAATTGAATATTCTACCAAAAGTATTTCCATGGGTTACTGATCTGATCTGATCTGATCATTTTTATGCAGAGACTTGCTATAACTAGACCGCGCGTAACGTAGATTTTACTATAAACGCCTGTTGTCAAGATAGGATAGGCAACCAACTGTTCATCACGGGGCGGACGTACGATTTGCAGCTTGCTTTAGCATATGTTTATTCTAAATTTTAGTAGCAAAAAAAGATAACATATAACTGTTTTAATCGAATTTATTGGTATTTTATTTGGACTTAATTGGTATATAACTGCCTTACTCTAGTCCTAATTTGATTTATATGTGTATTTTGGTGGTGAACACGTATCGGAAAATATACTTTTAAAACCAAAGATGTAAGTAGTGAGATATGATTATTTAGCGGATTTTGATTCAATATATGCCTATCCAAAAACCCAAATGGGCTGTAACTGTTATTTATTTTTCTTAGACTGCTGATAACCATTTTGTTTACAACGCGGTGTGGTGTGGATTGAATGAAAAACCTGAACACAGCAATTTGGCAAATTTGTAATGCATCGCTTAATACGTGCAACAATCCTCCACGATTTTTTCTAGTTAAAAGCTTTGAATGACTCTCTGATGCGAATATCGCATCTGCACATATGGAACATTTAACAGACTTAGCTATTTTTCTTGTAACAAAACCTGAAATATACTTAGTACCAGTAAGTACTTAGTTACGTCTATACCTAATATTCAAATAGGTACTGCCGTTGTCTTGCTGGTAAAGGATGTCGAATAATAGTTCTACGTTATTTTAAGTGAATGGGAAAGTCGAAAACGCTCGGTATTGCATTATTGTTTAACACCTTTCTAAAATCGGCTTCATTCCCCGCAAATGCACTATGGTGGGAGTAAATTTTTCTCTTCGAATGGCTCTGATCCATTGGCCCTTTAAACTTTTATCCGTTGAAAATCTGCATATTATTTAAAATTTTATAGACAGTGTACATGTTGATACGTACGAGTTAACCTAAGTTTATTGGTTTATTCTCAACAGAAATTTATCTGTTTACTAATTCGAGGTCATCACGAGAATGATTAATGAACGGAACATCTAAAATAACAGCTTATTTCATTATATTGCACATCATCTCTGCGATTTTTGCCCCGCGGTGCATTGTGTGTTGCATACTGTGTCGACAACACCTTAGATACGTTAAGCGCAGTCTATTATAGCAAGTCTCTGTTTTTATGTTTGTTATTATGGTACTCGCTTCGGTGGTACATATACTAAAATACCCCCCTGTGGGCTTGGGGGTAGAATTGACCCACTCCCGCCCTGGAGGTCGTAGAAGGCGACCAATGGGACAGGAGGCGGCTAGTCCGACCGTGTCCTGAAATACCCTTAATCTGTTC